TGCTTGTAAAATGCGAAAGAACCCCAGGTGTAAATAGGGATTGCGAAGAAGCTACCTTTTTTTACATAGATTTATCTACTGCTTGGTTTGGCTAATTGTTTCTTTTCAACTTTTTGATTGCATTAATGATTCCAAATAAAATTTTGTGTACGTATAACTGTATTATTCTGCTCATTACGTCTGGAGTTCCTTTATTATTTCATTTAGTCAATTATGATTTGTGGTTTTAACAATCTGGATCATTATTTATAAAATTTTATATTAATTTTATTTATAAAATCCTTGCAAATTTGCTCCATTCCATTCGAAGCTCAGATGCGAGCAGAATAGGTTGTTATGTGCGTAAGAAAGTCACAAGTGAACTAAACGTCGTTGTACGGTCAGGAAATCAACAAAAGATGAAAAGATGAGGCAGGGGAAATAGGGATATATCTAAAACTGGTAAACTTTTGTGGAGTACGAGTCAGGGACTTGAGATTATTCATAAAGGAAGAGCTGATCGCCAGGAAATAACGAGGCCGAAGAGACCGAGAAGCTCTTTTGGGAGAGCAGACTGTTTTGCTCATGTCTAAGTATGAAACAAATATAAAAATGCTCGGAGACATGTTTGGGAGACCGTAGGCTTCTGAATGACATCAGAACCGTCGAAAATCATCAACAAAATCAAAAAAGCTGCAAGCCAAAACAATCGGGATAATTCTGGAACTAATCAGCTAGATTGTAACTTGAAACTCTCGCTACACAGCACACTAATTGCCTCGATTCAAGCACAAAAGGTGAGATGGAACTAGGAAGCACCCAAACTCTTCAAGAGGGTTTTCTCGAAACTGTTTTGATTGTGCCCTCCCTCATCTGAGCTTGGCACGGCAGTGACTTTACGCATATTCTATGAACTCTCATTCACGGTAGAGGTCTAAAGATTTTGAAATTTTGTGGTTTCGATTCAATGCTGCTATTAAACAACGAAACAGCTTCAAATTTACATATTACAGGATCAAGTGTAAAATGCGAGGTGCGACGTAACTATCTGAATTCGAAAGCCATAAATGCAAAATCCTACTTTTTCCAAATATGGCGCGTCATAAGTCTGGAAACTTCACAATAGCAGAACAAATTCAGCGCGATAGCCCTTGAATCCAATAAAATCCAGCAATTTAGTGAGCAAAGAAATTTTCCATAATGACATCAATTTTTACTGGCATTGTGACATTGACTACGTTGGCACTTCGCAAATATGATAAATTCCACAATACCTGTTGGCATAAATTTTTGGGCCATGAGCGCATTGTGGGAGGGCGTCCGATCTTGCTCTGATGCCCTGTATTTCCTTTTAGAGACACTTTCGGTCCAAAGCACTAACCGAGACTGAAGAAATTAGAGATAATTCTTAGCATCACGTCATATCTTGAGCAGCAATAGTTCGAGATGTCTTCGAAGTGATTCCTGCTCTTATGATTTTTGCGAAAACACATACATTGGATGGTATGCTTGCTACATAGCTATAATACATAGGAATATTGTGACCGATCAAAGCTAATAGTAATTGCAACATCGGGATGTAAGACAAGTAACTTCCAAGCATCCAAAGTTGCCATGGAACAGTGGTGGAGCTCTCGCTTTGCAAGCCGTGCATTTAGAGTTTACTTCCCATGTGGTCTGAGAGCTCTGCGAAAAGTGCTAAAACTCCATGTCGTCTATGGTTGAAACCCCGTCATTTGATGTCTATTGCCCCCTATTGCCCTCTTTGTCTATGTT